GGGGAGCTATGGGGGGGAAAAAGAGGAACAACTGTAATAATATGAACAATAAAGATTTAATTATAAAAGAGGCAACCAAAAAAAAAAAAGAGTAGCTAAAATTTTCAATGCTTCTGTTTTCAAGGGATTATGGAAATCCGAGTATGTTTACCCATTGCAGGGGATCTCAATAGGACTTACTATTTTCTGAATGGGCTATTAGCTAAAATTGATCCTTAAGTGTTGTAATGAATGTTGGAGCCCACCCACCTTGTTTGGTCAGAGAGGACTTGGCATTACCTGTGCACAGTTAGTTTCCTGTCAGGACAAACTAGCCGCCATTAAACACCATGCTGTGTTAGACTAAGGCCGTGGTCGGCAAACTGCAGCTCTCGAGCCACATGCGGCTCTTTGGCCCCTTGAGTGTGGCTCTTCCACAAAATACCACGTGCAGGCGTGTACGTACAGTGCGATTGAAACTTCGTGGCCCATGGGCAGAAGTCGGTATTTTGTGGAAAAGCCATACTCAAGGGGCCAAAGAGCCGCATGTGGCTCGCAAGCCGCAGTTTGCGGAGCCGCAGTTTGCCGACCACTGGCCTAAGAAATAATCATTTTATTTGTTGAAACATTTTGTTTATTGGAATTTTTCTGTTAACTCCATTATATTTGACATCTCATTGAGATCAGATGACCTTTTGTTTGCTTACGTTTATTCTAAGTTAAAAAATATTTTTTCCCCACTTTTTTCTTTTTTTTTCTTTAAATCCAGAAAAAGAAGAGATCTTTTCTACAGAACTTGTGCCGGGAGATGTTATGGTCATTCCATTAAATGGGACTATTATGCCTTGTGATGCAGTACTTATTAATGGTACTTGCATTGTAAATGAAAGCATGTTAACAGGTAAACTAAATGAAATGAGGAAAAGTCAGATGAGTTGTTTATGAGAGTAGATTAAGTGGTTGCTGATGAATCTATTTCAAAATTAGCTGTGCTGTTTATCTTTTCTTTATGAATGTTATGAATGTCATGGATATTGAAGTGATTTTTTTGTTTTTTATTTTTATTCTGAGGGAACCAAATTCTGTATTATACTCAGCTGTGATACTAAGTCACCATGCTCGTCATCACTGCATTTCTTGGCATGCTCCTGTTTACTTTTTTTGATATGAGGAAATGCTTTATAGTAAGGGAAGAAAAAAGAAGCCCTTGCCTACAGAGAATGCAGTATATTTGCTTCCTTATTTGATGTGTAAACAGTGGGACTAAACACTGTATTTTTCTTAAAGTGGGGAGAAGTAGACTTCAAAATGATTTTTTTTTGGAAATCCACAATCTGAAGATAGAGCTCTATATCTTTTTTATCATATGAATTTTTTTATTGTCATAGTCAGTCTGGCAAGAAAGTGATTCCTATATAATGTTTTCAAACTTAAGAATCTTTTCTTAAAGCACACTCACACATAAATATCCCCACACGCTTGTTGGCTTAAAGTGAGAATTGTGGATGCTACACAGAATTAAATTTCAGTGTAAAAAAAATTTGTTTGTTAATTGTTTTAGAGAACTACCGTACTACCGTAGTATTATCTCCCTTCTCCAGATGCACGCGCGCGCGCATGTGCGTGTGTGTGGGGGGGGGGGGGGGGTGGTTAGCAATAGGTCTTCACATCTCTGTGTGCTGGAGGCTGCAGAGCGCTTTCCAGTTCAGTTCTTAGGGATAAGAGAACAGCTGCTGGGGCTAAGGTAACTCTTACCTGGTCTCCTTATTTGAAACTTGACACAATCATTTAAAAATCATTATCTTTGAATCAGATCACTTCAGGAATTATTGTGGGAGATAAGATTTGATATATTGGCTTAAGGAAATGGGTAGCCAAAAAACTAATTTAGTAAGTTATGTTATCCATTATGAGAACTCTACTTTAGTAGCAATTGTAAACAGTATGATAACATTTAGGTTATTTAACACTTCAAGTTGTATGTGTTTGCCACTGATTTCTATGCTTTAACTTATGATTTTTGTTTTTAAGGAGAAAGTGTTCCAGTGACAAAGACGAATTTGCCAAATCCTTCAGTAGACATAAAAGGAATGGGAGATGAATTATATAGTCCAGAAATACATAAACGACACACTTTGTTTTGTGGGACTACTGTTATTCAAACTCGTTTCTACACTGGAGAGCTTGTCAAGGCCATAGTAGTTAGAACAGGTAAGAACATATCTCTTCTTGCATATTTGACACCTACTGAATGTTTAAAAAGAGATTCTGTTTTGAATATTGTGATAACTATGTATGATGCCACTTGGGGTACTGGAAATATCGAGGAGAACACTATGTAAATTATATGATTGTCTAACCACTAAGCTGTACACCTGAAGCCAATATATCTATATATAAAAAAGCCTAAGTGACTGTTTGACTAGTAGCTATGACATGCACTGACCACCAGGAGGCAGATGCTCAATGCACAGGCATGGAAACATGGAACAGACTGATGAATCTCAGAGGGAAGGGAGGTGAGGGGAGGATGGGAAGAAATTAACCAAAGATCTTATATGCATACTGCAGGCCTGGTGCACGATTCGTGCACTAGTGGGGTCCCTTGGCCTGGCCTGTGGGGATCAGGCCGAAACCGGCTGTCTGACATCCCCCAAAGGGTCCTGGATTGTGAGAGGGCACAGGCCAGGCCAAGGCACCCCACTGGTGCACGAATCCATACACCGGGCCTCTAGTAATACATAAATGAATAAATGAATGAATAAATAAATATTCTCTTCTGAGAGATAATTCTCATTTTTTAATAAAAATATAAGTAATTTTCTTCTTTGAATTTTTTAAAAGGATTTAGTACTTCCAAAGGACAGCTTGTTCGTTCCATATTGTATCCCAAACCAACAGATTTTAAACTCTACAGAGATGCCTACTTGTTTCTTCTGTGTCTTGTGGCGGTGGCTGCCATTGGGTTTATCTACACTATTATCAATAGCATTCTAAATGAGGTATGTACATGGAACTCTTAGTAGGGTTTGAGTTTTAATTATCACATGTGACTACTGAGGATTTGAAAAGTGGCTAGTGAGGCTGAAGAACTAAAATTTTAATGTAATTTAAATTAACTTTTGAAAGCCATATGACACTAGTAGCTACTATATTTGGAAGTACAGATACAGAACATTTCCATCATAGCAGGAAGTGTTTTTTGAATGGCTTTGGTTTAGATCAGCCGTGGGCAAACTACGGCCCGCGGGCCGGATCCGGCCCGTTTGAAATGAATAAAACTAAAAAAAAAAAAAAGACCGTACCCTTTTATGTAATGATGTTTACTTTGAATTTATATTAGTTCACACAAACACTCCATCCATGCTTTTGTTCCGGCCCTCCAGTCCAGTTTAAGAACCCATTGTGGCCCTCGAGTCAAAAAGTTTGCCCACCCCTGGTTTAGATGGTCTTTCACTTGCTCTTTTGTGACTTAAAAAAAGGAGGGGTGACCACATACCAAAAGCTTTATTTTCTCTTTTTTTAACTTCTGGGATATATAGCATTAAAATTATTTGCTATTACTTAATTAAAGATACAGCTGAGGGACCTTGTCAAATTTCTCTTTTCTATCTCCTGTAAAGACTGGTACAGTACAGTGCTTGTAGTAAGAGTCAGTATCTGACAAATGTTTGTTGAACTTCAAAATGTGTAGTGTGTGAAGTATGTAGAGCTATCAGAGGAGAGTTTTCTTTAAAAATAGCTGTCATTCCACAGTCCATTGACAATATATTGAACTTTCTATTTTACAGAATTTCTAAGGGAAAGATTATAAAGGGCTAATAGAAGTGTTTATATACACACACTTGTTATATATAAAATTGAAAATGGTTTATAGATTTTTCACTAAAGAAATACCCTTACTAGATTAGTAAATATTGGGGGGGGGGGGCTGACACTTATTTTTCTGTGAATTATAGGTGGAGATTGGAGTAATAATTATCGAGTCTCTTGATATCATTACAATCACTGTGCCACCTGCACTTCCTGCTGCAATGACTGCTGGTATTGTGTATGCTCAAAGAAGACTGAAAAAAATTGGTATTTTCTGCATCAGTCCCCAAAGGATAAATATATGTGGACAGCTGAATCTTGTTTGCTTTGACAAGGTTGGTTCAGTTTCATAATCATTCTCATGTATGTGTGCTGATTGGGAATCGAACCCACAACTTTGACGTATTGGGATGATGCTTCAACCAACTGAGCTACCGGCCAGGGCCTCATAATCATTATCAAAGGTTACTTTGTAGATTTTAAATACTTAGATTAATGTTTTCTATATTTTTTATCAACCAATTTGTACACATTTTTTAAGGGTCCTTTTTTTTCAACTTACTTGGCATATGTATCATTTTTTGTATATTTCTAATTATTTTTTCAATTTTTAATATTTTGGATATTGCTTATTTGCCCAAATCTGCAGTTGTCTAATCATTCATATCTAAAATTATGTCTTGTAGTAGTAGTAGTAGTAGTAGTAGTAAAGACCTTCTAATCTTTCATGTTTTTAACAGAATATACTCCATACAGATATATTTACTGGAATTTTATTGCTATTAAGTATTTAGTGTTCGCTCTATGATTTATTGAATATATTTATAAATAATGAAGGTCACTAATTTTTTTATTTTATGTGAAAATAAAAAATTTTGTACCTGTGTGAAATATACCTCGTCTCTTACGAAGGGTTTTCCTTTTCTCAACTGAAATTAGTTTGCCTAAAAGTTTTATTTTGAGAATTAAACTTGGGTAGCTGATATAAGAATTTGATTTTTGTGCATCTTCATTATTAAAGAAAAAAATGGGAGACAAAGTATTTTTTTTGCATTTGCTTTTGTTTTACTTTTTATTAAATTTATTGGGGTGACATTGGTTAATATGTACAATTCTATAATACGTCATCTGTATATTGCATCATGTGCTCACCACCCAAAGGAGACAAAATATTTTTTAACAAATATTGTGTTAAAAAAAAGAGATCACATTCTAAGACTAAATTTCATAATTATCTGTTTAGAAAATTTCAATTATGCTTTTCTTCTTTGGAAACATTACTAGTAAAATTTTTAAGCAGACGTAAAAGTGGAGAAAAGATCAAGTATAATAAACCCTCATGTACCCAATACCCAGCTTTGACAGTTATTAGCATTTTGTCAATCTTTGTCTAGTTTCTCGTTTTGAAGGTGGCAGCATCAGACATTATTTCACCCACATGCCTCAGTATGTATCTCTAGGTGTTTTTTTAAAAATTACAATAACTGTCTACGACACTTAACAAAATTAGTAATTCCTTAGTATTATCTAATATCTAGTTCATATTCACATTTCCCTGCTTTTCTAAAAAGAAGTCCTAAAATTTTAGTTTGTTTTTAAGTCAGAATCCAAATGATTGCATTAGCTACAATTAATCTGTAACAGTTGCTTTTCTTCCCAATCATCTGGTTGAAGAAACCAGGTCATTTATATCCTGTATTTGGTTGATTGCTTCCCCTGATGTAATTTAACTTGTTCCCTTCCTTTATATGCTTTAATCTCGTTCTCCCGTGTAGGTATCCTTTATTGATTTAAAGGTTAATTAGTGCATTGTTCCACTACTTTGTTTTGTTTTTAATAATATAAGTCTATAAATACACAGATGTACGCATATGCCCTCTTATAAATAGAGGATCCATACCGTAAGAGTGTTCTGCACCCTTTCCCCACTTTCACTATTTGTCCTGGAAGTTATTCTCTATCAATATACGGAACTCTTACTGTTTCATTCGTTTGTTTACAGCTGTATATAGTTCTCCATGGTGTATATGTAGCAGAGGTTTTCATGATTTTTGTTTTTGGAGGCATTATTCATACTTTGTATGTGTACTTATTTTTAGACTGGAACTCTTACTGAAGATGGTTTAGATCTTTGGGGGATTCAACGAGTGGAAAATACACGGTAAATATTAGCTACACTTGATTATTTATTAGTTAATTTTTAATAAATATTTTAATATATGAAAAATTCAAACATAAAGAAAAAAAGTAATGTAACAGATAGCTTGTATACCCACCATGAAGGTTAAACCAGTTGACATTTTGTAGTTTTTGCTTCAGATCTCTTTAAAGATTTAAAATATTGCAGATATTGCTAAAGCTTAATCTACCCCTTTCCCTACCGCTATCATCATTCTGAAGTTGTGTTCTATTATTACCTTTGCACATTTTTATATTTTCACTACATATATTCCTGTCTATATACAAGATATATCTATAAAAAATATACACAATTGATACCCTTGTACGTGTTTTTGCTGCTGTTCTGTTGCTTAACATTGTTTTGAAGATTTCTCAATGTTGATATGTATAGATCTAATTTATTAATCTTAGCTGTTTTTTAGTATTCCATTATATGATTAAACCATAATAACTTCTTCTAAAGAATAGTTTCATTTTTTCCTCTCCCTTTTACCTTTCACTTTCACAAACAATGTTGCAATTAACATTCTTATACACATTTCCTAGTGAGCATGTAGTTGAGTTTCAGTGAGCTTTCTTCCTAAAAATGTCAGTGCTGGGTTATGGATATAGCACAGACATGGCTACAGCCTTAGTAGGTATTGCCTAATTGCTCTCTAAATGATGGTGGTGCTAACTCACTCTCCCTCAGTGGGTAAGAGATCCTGTTGCTCCACATCCTTGTCAAACTTGATATTGTCAGACTGCTAATTTTTGCCACATGGATAGATGTGAAATTATATTTTATTGTTGCTTTTCTTGTAGTTTCTTTATTACTTAGAAAGCTGAGCATATTTTCACATCCTTCTGTGTACTGCCAGTTTATAGCCTAATTTTTCTGTTGTGTTGTTAGTCTATATCTTATTAATTTGTTTGAAGTCCTTTGTATTTTCTGGATTGTAATTTTTCAGTACTATGCATTGCAAAAATATTATACCAGTCTATCTTTATTTTACTTTGTTTCACTGTCTTTTTGATGCTTAGAAGTTTTACTGTTACAATTGTGTTTATGTTATTATTATTATTTTTTTGCCTCTCAAACGCCTGTGATAGTTTGATTGACTATTGTTTGGCTCATGCAGTTTCAGAGTTGTTACATCTCCTTGGTAAATAAGTTGTCCTCACTTTGGGAACTTATTTATCCCCAATAATGCATCTTGCCTTAAATTATATTTCATATAATGTTTTTATATAGTTATACATCAGCTTTCTTTTGCCTAATTTTGCTTTGTGTTATCTTCTCAATCTTTTTACCTCCCTACATCTTCACTTCTCAATCTTTCTGTGCCATTAGTTTACAATGTTGTGTTCTCCCAGCACTTTGAAGGTGTTATTCCATTTCTCCTGACTCCTTTTGTTATTGCTGTTGAGAAGTCTTACCAGGTCTCTTTAAATAATATTTTTCCTCCTTTGTTGTTTTAAAAATATTTATGTTTGATTTCTGTAGTTTCACCGCCATCTTTTTATTTGTGCAGGACTCATTTTGCTTATTGATTCTAAGGACTTATGTTTTTCATAAATTATGGTAATTGTTCAACTTCTTTCTGTTCCATTATGGCCTTTCCCACATTCTTATTTTCTCTTCACATGAAAATTCTAACCATATGTTGGGCAAGAAATTTCATTTGGTTCTTTCAATATCTGCTTCTCCTCTACTCCCCACGTCTTGTTCTTTTTCCAAGTCTTTAATTTAAAATGCCTTTTTGCATTTTTTAGATTGTCATTCTATTATCTGAAATTTGTGGGATTCTAATTCTGTCTTTTTTTGTGTCTGTTGACTAGTAAGAATTGTTTCCTGGTGCATTTTTAAATTATGAATTCAACTTTAGCCGGATTTTTCTATGAGACTCCTTCCTTTGTGTCTGTGTTGTGGGAGCTCTTTTTCTAGAGAGCTTTGACCTTGCTTGGCCAAGAGCATGGCTAAGAGTGGTATCAGTGGGACCAGACAAGCTTTAATGTTACTTTCATAACTTGGGAATTTTCGGACCAGGCAGTGGCATATATTCAAATCCAAATCCCATCGTGGGTAGTGCAGTGGTTTAAAGTTTAGGCCCTGAAACCTTTGGTTGAATCCTTGTTATCACCTATGTGCTGGGTAACCTTGTCAAGTTACTTAAGCACTCTACTTCAGTTTTCTCATCTCTGAAATGGGGATAATAAAACACCTTCTTATGGTGTGAGGATGAGATGAGTCGAATATATTTAAAGTTTTTAGAACAGTGCCTAGTGTACAGTAAATATATAGATATTAGGTATTGTCTTGAACTTCGGGCAGGGGTTATGAGGTGGGGAGAGATAAGCTTATTCTTAGTTATGCCTTTGGGTCTGTGTGTAAATTTTCTAGCACACTGTTTTCCAGGGATGTAGCTGTTGAAGAGCACTGGCTATCTTAGTTTCAGGTCCCTACTTTGTGGCCCAGACTTTGTCTCCTGTTCCTGTGTGGGTATTAAAACTTAAGTCGTTAGGTGACTCCCTAAGAGGACTCCCCTCCCTTCTTCCTTCTTTCCCAGGTAGTCACAGCATCTGCTCAAGTTCATACCCCTCCTGTTTTCCAATCCTCCTATTTCTGGCACTTAAAAAATTGCCCTTTTTTTAATGAGCTCAGTTTCGCATTTAAGGGATTATGTTTTACACATTCATTTCATGTTTTTGTAAGAGGGTTTTTATGTATTCTAATCTGCCATATGTCCAAAGGCAGGAGTTTTAGTTATTATTTAGTGTCTAGTGTGTTCTACAGTGTTATGTCTGTCCTAGTTATTCAGAATCTAAGATAATACCATATTTTAGTCATGTATAATTTTCATGGAAGGAAATGTTTTTGAATTCCTAAACTATAGTTAAAAATATGCAGAAATGCAAACATTTTATTTCCATTTTTAAAATGACAAAACCTGAATATTGTTAGAATATTGTCTCAAGTCTTGGAATTTATGAATCTAATTCAGTACATTATCTGTTTAGTTTTCTTTTGCCAGAAGAAAATGTTTGCAATGAGATGTTGGTAAAATCTCAGTTTGTTGCTTGTATGGCTACTTGCCATTCACTCACAAAAATTGAAGGAGTGCTTTCTGGTGATCCACTTGATTTGAAAATGTTTGAAGCCATCGGATGGGTAAGTTTAATATTTAAAGCACAAGTAACTTCAGAAAAATAGAGTAAAAATTACCTTGCAGAAGGATTGTTTCTGCAGGTTGTTTTGATGATAGTCTATCTTGTACCGTGAAAGAAACGATGTAATTTCTAAAGGTGTATCACTGGAGAGAGAATATTGTAATTGTGTAAAAAAAAAGTCTGTTTTAGTTATGTTGACTCACTTAAATACCTTTAATAGAGACGACCTGCTCAGACCCCTGCTTTATGTGTTTAATGGATATCTGCTCTCTGAAACTTGAGGCAGTACGTCTGAGTCAGTAAGATGATCTTCAGCATCACAATTTGTTGGTCAGATAAAAAGGATAGAGTAGCAATGTGTCTTCGGTGTTCTTTTTACCCATGTTCTCCTTTTTGTGTCCTTACATACACACAAAGGTTTGCGTTTGTTCCTCCTAAATGTTGGGCTATTGATAATTTTATTTTTTTACTTTTAAAATATGTTCTTATTGATTTTAGAGAGAGGGAGAGAGAAACATCAATCGGCTGCCTCTGGCATGCCCCCTGCTGGGGATTGAGCCTGCAGCCTGGGCATGTGCCCTGAGTTTCAGAGGAGCAGAATTAGTCTCCAGGTTGAATTCCTCACACACTCCAAGTATTTGCATAAGCAGGGTTTTATTCTAGAATGTTAACCCTCACATTAGAGCCCTTCTTCTCAGATAGGAGTCCATATCTCTAGGAAATGACTCCTTGATTTTGTTTTTGTTTTTTTAAATTTAATTCAGCTATTCTGGCTGATAAGAAATATTTGCACCTCTCCTGCATGTCCTCTTGTGTTTATTCTGGGATCCTGTTTCCTTCATTGCTATCTTCATCAATATGTTTCAGTTTTGCCTTTTGTATCCTTATTGGAAATCTCTCCCTGTTTTCCTTTTCGTTTATTTTTACAGGTTTAGTGTGTGTGTGTGTGTGTGTGTGTGTGTGTGTGTGTGTGTTTTGTTGATCGAAAGGGAAGGAGATGAATGAGTAGATACATGCTTTGCCATCTTCTGAAAGCTCACAGTAAATACTTGTCACATTTATTTATTTATTTATTTAAATATTTTTATTGATTTCAGAGAAGGAGGGAGAAGGAGAGGGAGAGAAAGAGACATCAAAGATGAGAGAGAATCATTGATTGGTTGCCTCCTGCACGCCCCACACTGGGATGGAGCCCGCAACCCGGGCATATACCCTGACCAGGAATTGAATTGCGACCTTCTGGTTCATAGGTTGACGCTCAGCCTCTGAGCCATGCCAGCCGGGCAATTCTCATCAAATTTAATATCTTAAAGGAGGTCCACTTCATTTGTAAAGCAAAATAGGACTGATTCATTTTGATGTTCTCCAAAATTTCTCCAACTGAATAGATTTTCAGTAGGTTTTAGTGCTTTGTTTGTAGAATATTAATAATGGGTTAAATAAATAAGTTTGTGTAATAGTGTGTTTTGTTGACTTAGATGCTTTGATGCTTGGTCTTACAAGAAAGGATCAGTGGAATGTTTTCGCATAACTTGGTACTACTGCTATTTGTTGGTGTGATTGACTCCCTATAAGATGCCTCCCAATTTTGGAGATGTTAAAGTGTGTTTTAGAATTGTATAAAGTTGGCTAATTAGGCATAGTTCCCTTCCCCATCTTTTTCCAGTTGTAGTCTAATTAGTTTGTCACATATGTGTGTTTTATTGATTTCAGAGAGGGAGGGAGAGGGAGAGAGAGAGAAACATCAATGATGAGAGAGAATTATTAATCGGCTGCCTCCTGCATGCCCCACACTGGAGATCGAGCCCACACCTGGGCATGTGCCCTCACTGGAAACAGAGCCTTGACTTCCTGGTTCATAGGTTGACATTCAACCACTGAGCCATGCTGGCCGGGCCATGTATGTGTATTTTTAATACAAATTCTTATTTGAATTTTTTACCAAAAGAAAGTGATTTTAAAATAAATGTTAAGGGGTTAGGTTAGTGGTATCCTACCTAACTAGAAGAGTTCAAACAAACAAACTCATATCTTTGGACCTCAGTGTGTTCTTGATCCATTCATTCTACTAACCATATCTGAGCTCCATATAGTTTTGAACACATTCCTGTTAGCAGAAAGGAATCCCTGGATAATAGAAGCAAAATTAGAAAACTTTTTCCCTATTATTTTATTCTGCTTTTCACCTCTTCCTCCTCTCTCCTATGAGTTGCTAGGACTTTAACTAGCTTTGTTTATATTTTGTTTTATTTATGTTAATAATCTAGTAGTGCTCATTTATTTTTTTGGACACAAAATTTTTTAACTTCACTAAAAATAGACATAGTGTTTTATTTAAAAATGAAATCACTGGATTCAATTTTATAAAGCAATATGTTGAATATTTTCCTTTCAGATTCTGGAGGAAGCAACTGAAGAGGAAACAGCACTTCATAATCGAATTATGCCAACTGTGGTTCGTCCTCCAAAACAACTGCTTCCTGAATCTACACCTGCAGGAGACCAGGAAATGGTGCGAAATCACTTTAAGCTGGATTATACTGTTGATGCCAACATTCAGTCCTCACTTTGAAATATAACTAGAAGATGAAATCACGTTCTTTAACTCTCATGCAGACATGAATATTTTAACTATGTTTATTGGAAATTATTGTTGGGATATTGCAGGTATACTTTGTGAAATACTGAGATATATTTCTCAGTACCGTTACTTTTCCTTCCTATTTACTGAATAGCTTAGTGCCCTGTGATTGTGATAATGTGGTGAATAATCCCTTTAAATTGCAACTGTAAATTTGTCCCCTCAGTTTATTTTAGCATTTAATATGTTAATATTTTTAGGATAGCAGAATACTTGAAATATTCAAGGATGTACTTTTTAAAAATGGGAGGCAGAGGAGAAGTAATCTTGAAACATAACTTTGAAATAATCAAAGTTTCTTGCTGTTTTGTAGATACATAGTTGTTTTTTATCTTAAGGACTTAATCTGTACTATTTATTTTTTTTGTTTTGTTTTTAGGAGCTGTTTGAACTTCCAGTGAGTGAAAAATGTTTACTTTTTTACCTAAGTATATTTGTTTTAATTCTTAAAGAATAATAAATACTTCATGCATCTTTTGAAATTATACAGGCTATTTATGAGATAGGAATTGTTCGCCAGTTCCCATTTTCTTCTGCTTTGCAACGTATGAGTGTGGTTGCAAGGGTGCTAGGGGATAAAAAAATGGATGCCTACATGAAAGGAGCACCTGAGGTCATTGCCAGTCTTTGTAAACCTGAAACAAGTAAGGAGCCAACTTTATTTGAATAAAATTCTGGTATTTGTATAGGCTTTTATTAGCAATTCTAACAGTGATACTTATTTTTTCCTTTTAAAGTTCCTGTTGATTTTGAAAATGTTTTAGAGGATTACACTAAACAAGGCTTCCGTGTAATTGCTCTTGCACACAGAAAATTGGAGTCAAAACTGACATGGCATAAAGTGCAGAATATTAGCAGGTAAGGTTGATTAACAATTTTTCTACAGTTTTTCCAATGATGCATCATTTATGTTTATATGTCACATACAATAGTTTGTATGTAGTTGGATGTTCATTAAGTATTTATTGAATGTATGCAAATATACATAATGTAATGGTTTTCTTTTTAGTTGATTGAAACCGCTCTTTGGAACTATTTTCTATTTATTTGTTAAATATTTATTGAGTCCCTGCTGTATGTTAGGCATGTTCTAGGAACATAATCATGTTTTACTAAACCTAATTCTACAGAAGTTAATTTTTCCCAAATGATCAGTTTGCTTTTGCCTAGTGGTTGGAACCAAGTACTTATTTAGTCAGTATCATGAGTCACAATAAACAATTACCATCTACCCCAAAGTTCAAATGGTATTACCAACATCACATTTACTTCCAGGTATAGATATGGATTTTACCTTCAAGGATTGTCTCTTTCACTGTAACTAATAAAGACCTACCCTTTAAGGATAATATTTGTAAGCAAGCAGAAACGTATATTCATTAGCTGTCCTGATAATTTTGCCTGTGAAATAGCCTTCTCTTCCTCCATTCCCACAGCCATTATCTCTAATTCAAGGACTCAGCTCTTTTTCCTAGTCTTTCCTTTCTGCAGTCTGTATTCCACACTGCCTTCAGAGAGAGCTTTTTAACTTTCAGATCTAATACCAGAATCCTACCTGGAGTTCTTATAAATGGCTTCCCATCACCTATTGGAGGAGTTCACAATCAGAGATATGCATCAGGAAGGAAAACAAAACATGTAATTTTTTTATATGGGCAAATGATACAAACTTATCAGAAAAAAGACATACAAATGGCCAGTGAACACATGAAAATGATAGGGAACTTCAGTTCTTGGGGAACTGCAAAATAAAACCACACTATGGCATCACTTTTCTTCTAAGATTGACAAAATTGGAAAGATTGATAATGACAAGTGTTAGTGAAGTTTTGAGAAAATTATAACAATACTAGAGGCCCGGTGCACGGATTCTTGCATGGGTGGGGGCGGGGGTCCCTCAGACTGGCCTGCGCCCTGTTGCAATCCGGGACCCCTCGGGGGATGTAGCAGTGCACCAAGTGGCAGGCAGCCAGGAAGGAGCCTGGCTTCTGGCTGAGCAGCACTCTCCCTGTGGGAGTGCACTGACCATCAGGGTGTAGCTCCTGTGTTGAGCGTCTGCCCCCTGGTGGTAAGTGCACGTCATAGCAACTGGTTGACCGTTAGTTCCTATCGTTTGGTCATAAAGGTCGCTTAAGCTTTTTTATATATAATAGAGGCCCAGTGCATGAAATTTGTGCACGGGGGTGGGGAGGGGTCCCTCAGCCCAGCTTGCACCCTCTCCAATCCGGAACCCCTTGGGGGATGTCCGACTGCCAGTTTAGGCCTGATCCCGATTGGACCTGAACTGGCAGTCAGACATCCCTCTCATAATCCAGGACCACTGGCTCCTAACTGCTCACCTGCCTGCCTGCCTGATTGCAATAACCACTCTGTCTGTCTGCCTGATCACCCCTAACTACTTCTGCCCCTGCCCCTGCCACCATGGCTTTTTCCGGAAGGACGTCTGAAAGGCTGTCCGGAAGATGTCTGGTCTAATTAGCATATTACCCTTTTATTAGTATAGACTAGAGGCCCGGGCGGGGGAGGGGGGGTCCCCCAGCCCGGCCTGTGCCCTCTCCCAGTCTGGGACCCCTCGGGAGATAACGACCTGCTGGCTTAGGCCTGCTTCCGGGTGGCAGAGGGCAGGCCCAATTCCTAAGTGCAGCCCCTGGTCAGGCTCAGAGCAGGGCCAATTGGG